GAGGAGGCTGTTGTAAGCTGCTGCTTGGCTGCCTGGATGTTGGTTTAACTACCAAGGACATTCTGTGGCATGATTGGATATGGGGTTAATTATCAGTGCTGAAGAACTGAACAGGCATCCAGAACAAGTGCCAGCTAGACCTGTAGACCACAAATTTTGATTTTTTATTATTATTATTTTATATAACAAAAGGTCCTGCCTGGCAGCCAGGAATAATAAAACCTGTGTGTTTTGTTCGTTACTTAATACTTTCTTCACTACAAAAACTTCAGCTCTTTCCTTGAGCCAAAGGGAGGAGACTACTGAGTGCAGGAGCTGTCAGGCTGGTAGGGTCTTGCTGCCTCTCATCAAGTAGCCGTGAGCCATGGGTAAGTCATGTCCCTTGGCTTTGGTGTTCTTTCTGTGGTCAGTCCCAGTGGGGATCATGGTCAGGAGAGTCACTCAGGAGGCCTCACCTCACACCCTGCTCAGGTAACATTCTGTGATTGACCTGCAGTGTGCAAACGCCTCTGACCCTGTGCTCATGCAATTGTTTGCTGCCTTTTGTCTTCAGAAGGTGGTTTGGAAATAAGCTGTGAGAGGAAATGCAGGAATCAATTCAAGACTCGTGTCTGGCACAGTTCCCCAAAGAGGCCCTGGAGTCTGTGTGTGCCCAGGCATGTTTGTGCACAAGCAGCAGTGACCTCGGCTGGGCAAAGTCGCCTGGTGCCTGCACGTGTGTGTGTGGGGGCTGCACCAAAATACAGTCCTGCCAGGACTGCCAGGTCTTTTTTGGAGCAATTTGGAGTGTCCTGAGCAGTTCTGAGAAATCTGAGTATGTTCCTGCTGTCTTGGAGGCTTATAGTCTTGAAGGTTGCCCAGGTGGAAGGTCACACAGCAGCCAAAGGAAAGCCCTTGTGGAGCAGCCTCCTGAGGGCTCCTCCAGAGGGAACTTGCTGTTCTTTTTCCAAGGATAATGAAACTGGAATTAAACATTGAGCAAAAAACCCAGTTACTTACCTGAAACTGCAATGTAAATATTCTGTATGCCATCCTGACATGGCACAGAAGGTGTTGCCCTTTTGCCCTCCATGCTCAGGGAGTACAGTAAGTGGGAAGCCCCCTTTTAAGCTGTTTGGATGATGGAGGTTCGATGCTCATCCTGCACAGCCCATTGCAGGGGTGATGTGGAACCACAGAATGGTTTGGGTTGGAAGGACCTTAAAGACCACCTAGTTCCACCCTCTGCCATGGTCAGGGAGGGACACCTTCCACTAGCCCAAGTTGCTCCAAGCTCCATCCAACCTGGCTTTGCACACTGCCAGGGATGGAGCAGTCACAGACTCCCTGGGCAACCTGTGTCACTGCCTCATCAGCCTCATGGGGAAAAATTTCTTCCCAATATCCTATCTATCCCTGCCCTCTGGCAGTGGGAAGCCATTCCCTCTTGCCCTGTCCCTCCAGTGGTACTGTGCAACCAGAGAACAAGTGTCTTGACGTGAATTTAGAGCTCACAGTTATTGTGTGGCTGTGCTTGGTCACGAGCTGAGTCCTTATCGTGGATTTGCCAGATACAAGCACTCATTCCTGGAGGCTCAAAGTCATACTCTATTAAATTTTGAAACTTCTAAAAAAAGAAGGAAGGTGGTTCCTGTTTGTCCTTTAAAATCCATTTTCAAGCTCTGCTCTGGAGCCAGGAAGATTGGGGATTTGTGCAAATGAGCAAGGCTGCTGAGATCTTTATGTGGTCACAGGGCCCCTGGAGCCTGGTGTGGGAAATCCTCCAGGCACTGCATGGCTGTAATGCAACTGCATAGAACCGATAGTCATGGAGACAGAGCATTCATTACTCCATGTTCATGTTGGCCATACCTTCCTGGGACAGAGGAGCATTAGGCTCTACCTATACCATGATGCAGAGGCACACTTTCTATCAGTTCACAGCCTTTAGGTTCAAAGCAGTGTCCTGGGTCATTCGTCCTGTCCAGAGCAAAGCCCTCAGCTCTGCAGACAGAAGAATAAAATAGACCCAACCATCAGAATCACTGTCAGGTCTTTGCAGTGCTGCTGTCCTAGATTCCCTGGGACAACCGCCCTTTGTTGGAGGTGAGGACAGCTGTGCCAGGGCAGGGCTGGCCTTGCACGCCCTGCCCTTCCTTCCTGTTGGAGTCTGCTCCTTCTCCCACCCCCAGCACTACTGGCCTGAGAGGGAGCACTGGGCAAGGACAGGTCAGGTCAGCTGCTGGGTGGGCCATGATACATGCAGGGGGTGTTTCCGGGTGGCTGGAGGTTCTGGCCTTAGGATGGTGTGGTATTACAGAAATAGCTGTTGGAGTTCATCTGGAATGACCTGCAGAACTGGCTGTCATGGTTTAACCCCAGCCAGCACACTGGTCTGTCTTCAGCAGCTGCCAGCCTATCCCACACCTATCCTGATTCAAGCCATCCAATTCATCTTCTCCTTGCAAAAAAACTTTGGAGAGAAGTCCACGTGCTAGCAGCTCTCTGTCCTGGGCCTGACTTCAGCAGCTTCACGAAACGCATTCATTTTTGCATCTGCTGCAAAGCTGAGACAGATACCCCCTAGGCTGGCTGCAGGGTGTCATGTGGATGGCAGGGAGAAGGCCACAGGGCCAGGAGACTGCTGCAGGTGTCAGGGACCTCTGCATGCTCCTTTCATGTCTCCAGCAGCTGCTTTGGGGCCATGGGACACAGGGAGAGGCAGTAGGTCATGGCTGCTTTTCTGCTCTGCTTTGCCCCTGCATATAGCTCTGGATCAGCTCAGGAGACCTGGTAGCACGTGGTGGTACTTTTTTACTGGTGTTTTCTTACCAGCATTTCTACTGCTCCTAGAGTCCATCTGCTGCCCCAGGGCAGCACCAGTGCCTGCCCAGTGCTTGCCTAGTGTCTCCTGAAAAACCGTGTACCTTATGCAATGGCACTGTTTGAGGACTTGACATGTGTTTTCCTTCTGTCCTGCCATCTGTATCTTTTGTCTGCTGAGGCTCTTTTGCATCCAGGACTGTCCTTTCATCCCGTGTCTGCACAGTGCCCAGCACAGCAGAGCCCTGGCTCCTGTGGCCAGGGTTCCTGGGCACTGCTGATAAAAAACGTTAATGTTTGCAAAGTGTGGCTGAAAATTTTCCACTCTTCTCCTCAACCATCTCAACAATCTCATGCTGCAATGCCATGGGATATGTGTTCCCACATCTTTGGGAGAACAGCCTGGGAAGGACTTCCATCAAGAAAACAGCAGAGATTCTGGTGTTTTGGGCAATTTGCAGGCTTTGCTGTTGGTACTTAACAGTTGAAACAGCAGTTGGAGAAATAGGCAATTTTCCTGGCATATGCACTGCTGCAGAAATACTCCTGGCTTCCCATAGGCCCTAGCAGAGAAGTTTCCCTGGGAATAACCAATAAAAGTGTGTGATTTTGTCTTGCTGCCATTCTGAGCTCTGACGCCCTGGCACTGGGGAGAAGCCTTGGGGCAGATATGCAGTGCCCACACCTGGAGCAGGGATGGGGCTCTTCCCTTTGCTTGCAGGTCACTACTTTTTGCTCAGCTCCTTTGGAACAGCGGCTGGCTGTAGCCCCTCCAGCTCCTCTTTCAAGGAGCCCCATAGCTGCTGCAGTCAGGTGTGTTATTCTGCTTCCCCTCACAGCCAAGAGGGACCAGAGGAGAAGAATGTGACTAGGGACAGGGTTGTGTAAACAGTTCTGGTTTGCTTTGCACATCGGCTAAGGATTAACTACAGCTAAGTGCCGCAGGAAAGGGGAAAGTCTCAGCCTCAGTTAGCACAGCTGTAACTGGGGAGAGCTCCAGGAGGAGAAACAAGGCTTAAAATCAGGCCTGTGGTGTATGGAATGTGAGTGTGCAGACACTGCTGATAACAGGGTGGAGGGAGCATACCTGTCCCACTGCTGTTCTGGGTTGGCACCTCCAGCTGTGTCTCTCTGAAGTGCAGTGTGTGTGGCTGATGATCTGATGAGATCCTGCAGTACCCAGATCTCGGCAGTCCTTAGTCACTGACTTTCACCCCACAGTTTACCCACCGTGACCTGTGAAACTGCTTCCCTTGGGCACTTCAGATGGGCTGTTGTAGGCTGTGAAGCGCTTCCCAGGGTAATGGCAATGGCAGGAGGAGTGTAGCTCTGTAGTATCTCAGGAAGAGCATGCACAGAGCTGTATCTGGCATTGGTACTGTTTCTTTCTCGTCTTTCTGGTGCTTTGGGTTGTGGAAGGCACAAAGAGCCCTCTGGTAAAGCAGTGAGGGGCGTGGGAATTCTCCTGTAAGCTGGAAGTGTATACAAGCTTTGTGCTGTCTGTTGTGTGTGTCAGTAAATATCAACTCTGGAGGAAAATGTGTGAGAAAAGGAGAAGTCTGTTAGTACCTGGGTCATCTCCTTGCCTAATGTTTTTACCCTGTACCCAGGTCTAGAAATACTTTTGGTCAGGCCCATAGCTGTTGTAGCTGCTACATAGATCAGTGCAAGTGAAGGAGTCCTCCTTGGCAAGGTGCATCCCTTGTGGAACCAGGCACTGTGCCAGGCACTGCTTGGAAGTGCGCAACAAGCCGGGGAAATGGCTAAAACCCAGCCCCAGCTGGAGAATCATCTCCTCAGGGGAAGCAGCCAGGGGACACTGAGAGCCTGAACTTGCAGAGCTCAGAGCCTGGAGCTGTGCTGCTGCCCAGCACCCATGGTCAGGAGCTGCATTTGCTTAGGGTGGATTTAGGAATACAGTTTTGTAATCCTTATGTTCTCTTTTCACTCATCTGGTTTCCAGGCATGCATGTCCCAGCCTGGGGGATGGTTGGGTGGGAAGCCATGAAGGGTTGGTCAGTGAAGGTGATACCTGGCTGGCTACTGTCTCACTGCTCCAAATGGCTCAGAAAAGGCCTGGTGGGCAGGACTTGCATTTCTTTGGCAGTGTCCCTCTGTCAATTTGTGGTTGCCTCAGGTCTTCCTGAACTACCACCCACAGGTTTTTCTAACTCCATTTCTTTACTCTTTCTCTCAAGCTGATCGTTGTAAAGATGTTCAGCAGATCCGAGAGCAGCACCCGAACAAAATCCCGGTAAGTGATCCTTCTCGCTGCTCTGTGTTAGACTTTGTCCTCAGGGCCCCTCTGTGCTGCTGGGTGGCCTGCACCAGCCACAGAGCTTGCTTTACTCCCCAGAATCAACCCAGGCTGGTCTCCATGAGCCTCCAGAGCCTTGTGCATGCAGGTGCTCCATGGCAGATCACATTCTCTGCAGTGCCAAGTCCCGCCTGGCTCTTGAACTTTATGCCTGCCTAGAGGCAGGGAACTGTTTTGATCTCCAATCTATTTTTCCAAGCTAGTGCAGCAGGAGAAAACTCTGAAATGGCCTTTTGTTTTTTGGGTGGGGTTTTTTTGTTTGTTGTAGTAGCTACCTGACTTTTCTTGGATAACCTGGTAAGGATTTCTCTGCATCTGCCTAGAGAATGATGTGTGAGATGATCTTCACTGTATTGAAAGCAAAGAGGCTGCTAGGATCATTCATACCTGTTCTGTGCTTTCCCAGCACCTGCTATTGACAAGCGTAGGTGAGATTCCATGAACTGCTTCCAGTTCTTCCTGCCCATGTCACACCTAATACACTGTGATGCTCTTTGGCTGTGAGTGTGCTTTGGAGATCCTACCTGAGTATTTGCTTCTCTTCCTGAGAAGATGGAGAGCTTGGAGGAATGCCCCATCCCTCAAAGTGTTCCAGGCCTAGCTGGATGGGGCTTGGAGCAACCTGGTCCAGTGGAAGGTGTCCCTGCTCCTGGCAGGGGGTGGAATGAGATAAGCTTTAAGATCCTTTCCTACCCAAACCATTCTGTGGTTCTATGAAATAATGTACCTGGGGCTTGCTCAGGTTACTGTTTGCAGTACTTTAGAATGTAAGACCAAAACCAGGACCTATTCGTAGTTTAGCTTCCTGTCAGGACTGGCTGAACATCAGCCTTCTCTTAAAATTCTGTATGATGTCTCAGTATTTGGCCTTCAAGGCTGAATGTTTCAAACTGCACTTGACTCATCCTAGTCCACTCCTGTCTAACTCTTATTTTGATTTTAGCAGAGCATCTTTGACCTAAAAGAATTCTTTCTCTTCCTTCTCTCCCATCGCCTCTGTGGTGTCCACGTGTTGCTGGCTTAGCAGAACAGAGCAGCCCTTCACAGCATACTGGGTACCAGTACACCAAGTCATCAATACACTGATTGACCTCTTGCTTTTCAAAGGGTTTCATGGCTTTAGTTTGGTTCTGCATGTCTCCATAGTCATGGTAGAGCTAACTGCAGTGCCTTCAGGGTCTGGCAGTAAGGCCTGGCTAGAAATACATTGTACATAAAATGCACACATGGAAATATATCAAGTTCCTGTACACAAATGTGTGTTGCCAAGGAAATGTACAGAAGGAGCCAGAGCCCTGCATCCACATGCAGAGTTCTATTGGCATCACTGAAATGTGGTGGGAGAGCTCCCATGGAGTGCTCTTTGCGCTGGGGTCAGCACCACATGCCCCAAGAGGTCTGTGTGTCATGAGGCCCTGGCCACTGGTGTGGCTGTGAGGGGAGCTGTGTGTGTGTGTAGGTTTGGTTGTAGTAGAGACCTGAGCCCTCCACACTGCTCCAGTGGCCTCCTTGTTCAGTGCCTTGTTGTCCCTGATAGTGCCCAGCACTGGGAGAGGATGAGGACCCCATCTGAACCCTCAGCTGCTTTGCTCTCCTGCGCTGAGGGACATGGCAGGGAAGGATGTGTTTAGCTGCAGGTTTTGCTGGAGCAGTAAAAAGACTCAGGACAGAAGGGTGCTGAAGGCCTTGGGAGGTCCAGTCGTGTTTGTTGGGTGTCTGTCAAGGCCTGGTCTTGATTATACCCCAACACCAGTTTGGTGCTGTCTCTGCTCTTTGTTATAGCAGAGTTGCTGCAGGTGGTTGTGTGCAGGTTTGGTGCTGGGTAGTGAGCAGAACCTATCACTGTGGGGCTGAGCAGCACAGGGCAGGTTAAGAATTTCATAGTATCATTGTATGTTAAGGGGTTGGAATGGAGCTTAGAGATCATCCAGCCCCAACCCCCTGCCCTGGGCAGGGATACCTCCCACCAGAGCAGGTTGCTCAAGGCTTTAGCCAACCTGGCTGTGAACACTGCCAGGGCTGGGGCAGCCACAGCCTCCCTGGGCAACCTGGGCCAGTGTCTGTGGACAGGTTGTCTGTCACAGGTTGTCTGTGAAAGTGTTTTCCAAGTGATTGGCTTTCCTGGATAGGTGCTTGGAATTAGCAGAGGGGTTTGAGCTCACAGCCTACAGGAGTCAGGGAGATGACAGGCCACATCACATATACCCTTTCTGCTGACGGAAATCACAGCAGGCTGAGCAGCAGCTGCTGCTCTCTCGCCTCTCCAGTTTCCACGCAGAGCCCTTGGGTGAGTCCCTTTTGCTTCGACAGAGGGTCAGAAGGATTTGCAGAGTGCATGGCCTGGCCTTGTGCCCAGGGAAGGGCATGTCTCTCCTGTTTCCATGTGTGTACTTCCAGAGGAGGCTGAGAAAGGGGCTGAGCCATATGTATGTGAGGAGAGGGATGCAGTGCATCTGTCTGAGCCCACCAGATACAACACAGTGGGCAGCCTGGACCCTGCCTGAATGTGTGGAGTTCTCTGCTTGTATTTGAAGGGAAATCACACCCCAGAACACCTCATTGGCACATGTAATAAGGAGATAGGCAGGAGCCCCAGTCCACCTCATGCCAGGGGCTCCTCTGCTGTCTGCATTTCCCAGAGCTGGCTGCACTTCCATGGTAAAGTGCTGACTGCAGGCGCACACAGCTCATGCTGAGCAGGTGAGATGGTTGTGCTGGCAGTAGGTGCTGCTCGCACTCAGCTCTGATGGGAAGGAGTCTCCAGCTGCCTCTTGTAGGGTGGCTCCTTCTCAGGTGATCAGAACAAGCAGAGAGCTTCCAGTCTTCTCGCTGGGACCCCGATCCACAGCCTCAGCAGGTGCTTTAGAAATCATCTTCTGCCCTGTTAGAGGACATGGAGCCTATGCCCACCCATTACCCTTGCCTGCTGTCAGCCCCAGTGCTCTTTCCAGAACCCATTGAAGCCTTGGAGAGTCTGAAATCACTGGGGAACAGCTTGTGCTGAACAGCAACAGGAGCAAACAATTTCCCAAAGTCCCGCAAGGCTAAATTCAGCCAGGCCTGGTGAGCCATGGGCTGTATGGCTGCAGAGAGGGGGACTAGGGCAGGGCCAGCTCTCATGCAGATCAGCAGGGCCGAAGGGTGTTTGGACCATGCAGAGAGGGCTCTCTTGGATTCAGAGCAGCTCAGAGGATACTCGTGAGGGATCCCAAATCATGCCCTGCCCTGTCACAGTGGTGGATGGGAACTCAAATTACAGACTTGGAGGAAGGGACAACCTTCTCTGAGGTCTTATGAGGGGTGTTCTGGGGAGCTGCAGACCCAGAGGCCAGGGGTGGCATGACTCCAGATGGATCAACACCAGAGCAGCTTTTGGACTGAGGGCATTACTGTGCCTGTTCTCACTAAAGGACCTGCACCCTGCTCTGCCAGAGTGGGACAGGATGAGGCTGTGCTCATTTGAGTGCTTTGTGTGTGTCTCTCTCTGTGCCTGGCCATGGCTTTCTGGGTGTGTATGTAACACATGTGTGTGTGCCTACTGGGAATACATTCTTGGCCTCACTGCTGCTTGGACCTTGCCTCTGTTGGGCTGCCAGATCTGTCGTCATTCCCTACCAAAATCCCCTTCTACCTCTACAGACTGGCCCCAGAACAAGGCTTGAGTTTACAAATGCTGCCCCAAGCCTGATCTGCAGTGGGACCAGCACCCCAGGCTCTGGCCTAAGCCTTTCCCCATTCCCCCTGTGGCTACTCATGTGACTACTGCAGAGTTCTGGAGTGGGTTCCTTCTGCAAGAGCAGGTGTCCCATGCCTGAGGAAGCTGAGGCAGCAGCTTGGAGGAGGATCTGGGCTGGGAGGTGGCTGTGTCTGCATGCCCTGTGGCCACAGGGATGTAACATTAGCATTTGATCATGTTTTTCCCTCCAAAGCTAGACAAGAGTGTTTTGTCCATTGGTCACCTGTTCCCAGAGCTGAGTTACCCAAATAGCAGCTCATGTTCTGGGAACAGAAACTCTTGGAGTTGCTCTACATGAGAGGCTCTCTGTCTGCTCAGGGAACAAGGCAGCAGCCGTTCTGAGAGCCAGGCCATCCTTCCCAGCCTGTTCTTGGTTCAGTCAAGAGGGTTTTTTTATGGGGGTTGGAACTGCTGTTGCCTCTGTGTTTCCCAGTGGCCACAGCAGCATCCCTGTATGGGGCTGTTATGAGTGTCCAGCCAGAGACTATTCCTCTGCCCAGAGCCCAAATACTCACCTGTCCATGCAAGACTCAAATTAATTGCAGTAGGATGGTTCTGTTGTCTTGTCCTTCTTCAGAGGGGAGAAAGGGCTGTTAGGATGGAGAGGGATGTCCTGATGCATGATTTAGTCTGTTGAAGAAAAAGCTTCTTTAACCAGGTCCTCATCTTGCAAAGGGGCTGAAGGAACAATATCTGGTGTTTCCTGGTCTATTTCACTGCCACTTGCTCAGTATCAAGAGGAGACATTGCCAATGTGAGAATGCATTGATGGGCTGAGGGGGGGCTTCATATGCTGCTGATGCAGCCCTCAGGCTCCTGGCTCCCCCTTGGGTGAGCTTTAGCTAGGGTGGGCTCTGCAGTGGGTCCATCCTTGTGGGCCCTGAGGTCAGCCCTGCTGCCTGGGGGGCTCCTCAGACATTCTCAGCTCAGTGGTGACTCTGCAGCATCCCTGCCAGAGTGCTCTGGCTTTGGGGTAGACAGGCAGGAGTTGATCACTGCTGCTGCTGCCAGAGGCTAATGTGTCAACAAAGGATCAAGGGAAAGGGAAATGGGTGTTCCCAGAGGTTCCCTGGTCCTTCTGGCTCCGCAGAGCCGTCTACCGGGGATCCTCCTCTCTGCACTGCTGCCCAGGACCATTTGCAGTCTCCCGTGTCGTTTTGGTACAGATCTGGGAAAAGGATTTAGGGAAATTCCTTGCGTTATAGTGGAAAATAATGTTCATTCTTAAGTGGGAGAAGACAATGGGCTGATGAGTATCCAAGTGTCTCTGCGGAGAAAACAGCTGGGTACCGAGAGATGTGAGAGTCAGAGCATCTCTGTAACAGGAACACATTGAGCTATGTAAGTTCTTATTCCCATTTTACCTGGAAGCTCATTCCCTGTTATCACTGCCTGCCACCTTGTTTCTCAGAATACAAGTGGTGCCCTTCCAGGCTGGTTTGGAACTGCAGTTGTACCTGTCAGCAAACAGCTTCACAGAAGAAAATCATTAGTTATAATAGCAGGAAAATGGAGCAGCACTCATTGTTCAGCCATTTCAGAGCATAGGGTGCTAAGAGCTTTCCCAAGGAAGACCTCTGGCAGGGGAGCACAGGCTGGGCTGTCCCTGTGGTAGCACACAGGAGGAGTGGCTTTCTGATCCTCCTTGGAGTCAGTGTGTCTGAGTGTTAACATAAGGAGTGGGGCTGGTGAAATCCAACCCCTGTTTCTGAAGGAATGCCTTGGATGCCTTCACTGGGACTTCTAAAAGCTGCTTGTTTGGGAATACCCACAGCTGTTCCTGAGCAGGCAGGGGGATGCTGCATGGAAGCAGGAAGGAAAGGGGAAGGAAACTGCCTCTTGCTGTGCACTGTGAGCTCAGTCCTTGACTCAAACCAGAAAAACCTGTGGGCTGGGTCAGTCTGAAAGCGATGTTAAAATACTTCACTCCTCTTCCAGATCTCCTCCATGCCAGGACAGGTAGGTTCATGAATCCAGTGGTGACCACTGGTTCTTGGCCAGCCAGAGCAACTGCTGCTTTAGGTCATTAATTTGGATGCTCTGCACTGCCTGGCTCAGGCACAGGTGACTGTCAAAGAGCTGTCTGCAGCCAAGCCTGGTGGGCACTGCTCAGGTCCTTTCTTTGTTTTGTTTCCTGTGAGGGTGAAGCCAAGTGGAGCTTTACCTCAGCTTTTCCACCTGTGCTAGCTGGATTTGCATTTGGCCTTGAGCGCTGTGTGTAGGGCACTAAATGTGGCTAACCCTACCCTTGGCTTTCTCCTCAGGTCATCATCGAGCGCTACAAAGGGGAGAAACAGTTGCCAGTGCTGGACAAGACCAAGTTCCTTGTCCCAGACCATGTCAACATGAGTGAATTGGTCAAAATAATCCGGTGAGTGGTGTGGCCTCAGCTGATCTGTTATGAGCCTGTCCTCACCACAGGCCACTCCCCACAGTGTGGTGGGTGAGGGCGAGGCAGAAGCAGCTGCTGAGGGCAGGGATGGAGATGTTGCAGCTACAGCATCCTCATGTGTTGGGGGACTGATGGGAACAGGTCCTTAGCACCTGGTGAAGGTCTGTGACCTCTCCCTCATAGGGACACTCCATGAGCTCATGAGAGGGGCCCCAGTCCTCTCCTTTTATCCTTCAGCTCAGAGGGAAGAGGCCCTACCAGCAACACTTGAAGAAAGGGGCTTTGTGGAGTTCTGACTCAGGAGGCCTTGGAGCCTTGAGCAGCTCAGCTGGACTCATGGATACTGTGTCCTGAGGAGTGAGAGGAGGTCCTGGCTGTGCAGGCCTGGCCCCGAGTGAACATCCTCGCTGGGGGAGGTGGAACTGGCTGTCAGGGTATCTCCCCAAGGTGGGCTGACCCTGCCCCTCCTGCCCTTGCCCCTACAGGCGCCGCTTGCAGCTGAATCCCACCCAGGCGTTCTTCCTACTGGTGAACCAGCACAGCATGGTCAGCGTGTCCACCCCCATCTCGGAGATCTACGAGCAGGAGAAGGACGAGGATGGCTTTCTCTACATGGTCTATGCTTCCCAGGAGACCTTTGGCTTCTGAGTGCTGCTGAGGTGGCATGTGGAGACAGACGAACTGTGGCGCAGAGGCTCTCGGCCTCGGAAGACAACACAGCCAGAGGCTCACAGGAGGGGGACTGTGCTGACCCCCTTCTTCCTCCCTCCCTTCTCACCTCCCTGTCACCAAAGAGGCTCGTGGCGCGTGGTGGACTCGCACACCCCTTGACCTCCCTGTAGATTAGTCCTGCTGCCCCACACCCCACGGGGCCTCAGCTCCTGTGCCCTCCCGTCCCCCCGTGCCCCACGCTGCTCTCGCTGTGCTCTGTGTGTGTGTAGCTGCTGCCAGACCTGCTGGAAAGCAGGCAGGATGCTGTGGCCTTCCCTCCCAGCACAGGGAGAGCTCCTCTCCTCTCCTTGACACTCATAAAGGGCAGGAGGTCTGCAAAAGCAGCAAACAGTTGTTACCATTCGCTCTCGCGAGTTTTAATTCGTTTTAATTACACCCATATCAGATTCTTGGTGCTACTGAGTAGATGTAGGCGTCTCTGTAGGACTGTGGATAATGTATATCCTTTAGATTTATTTTATTGGTTTGTTGGTTTGGTTTGGGTTTGGTTTTTTTAGGGATAGAATGGAATGGGGAGAGGGGGAGAATCTTTCCTGTATTCTGTAGGTAAATAAATCAGGCTTCATTGCACTTTAAAGCATAGTAGATGTCAGAGTGGAATTGACTTTTAATTTATACAGGTTTGCCATCTCTAGTGCTGCTCCTCTGTTGACAGTTGTACCCAGATTGTCTTGTTTCTTTTTTTTTTTCCTAATAAAATTGATTTCCCTTCTCTCTGTCTTCCCATTGCATGCAGTTTTTCAGTCTCAGTGTGGCAAGGAGTTCTCTCAAGCAGTGTACTGATTTCTATTTGCTATATTCCCATTCCTGTTTCTCATGTATTATACCAAAAAATGTATATGGTAAAACCCCCCCCAGTTTAATCTATACAAAGGTATATATATAAATATATATATAAAATAAACATAAATTCAAGTTTGTGTCTTGTAGGAATGTTCTGTTCCCATCTCATTTGTCTGTGTTGCTGTCCCTGGTGTATCACATGTGATGCATGTTCCTCACGTTCACTGGTGTGTGTGTGCCTGCCCAGACTTTGGGGCTGGTTAATTAAGCTATGGAAAAGCAGCTGGTTGGGATCGAGGGGCTGTGGCAAAGGGGGAAGCCTGGTTTAAAGGACAGAGCACTGGATAGTGATATGGCAAGCATCATTATTCTTGTCCTACCTGTGACAAGTGTTGAGTGAGTCTCTTGTCCTTTCTCCAAGCTTCCTTATCTGGGGAACAAAAGATTGAGGTGGAGGCATTTGCAAACTTTCTGCTTTTAAGGGAAGCTTTGAGAAATGCAGGAAGTCATGGATGTCCCTGAGTGTTCAGGCCTGTTCTCCAACCAAAGCCTGATGGTCATTTAGCAGGTCCCTGTGTTTTCCTGCCCCAGAGCTGGAGGCAGCAGTGCAGGTGGGTCTCACCTGAGTGGAGCAGAGGGGCAGAACCCCCCTCATCCTGCTGCCCACACTGTGGGGATGAACCCTGGACATGGTTGGGTTTTGGGTACCAGTGCATATGGCTGGAACCTAGCCAACCTCTCACCCACTAGCACCCCCAGATCTTTCACAGGACTGCACTTTTTGCCTCCCATGTAATACTGACTTCAAGGTTCAGCCTCTTCCAGGCTCTCTCCTCTTACCCTTTTTCAGGCAGTTCTTAGCTATTCTCCTTTGCCCCACTCTGCCCTTAGTTCCTCATGAGTTGTAAATAAAGCTGAATTACAACAGGAGTCTGTTCCCATAGCCCCAGAGGCACCTGACAGCCCTGCTCATTCCTACTCAGTCATGTCAGCTAGGGTCTGCAGGGGCCTGGCTTCTAATACCTGCAGGTTCTCTAAGGTCTCTGAATGGAAATGCTGCTGCCTTGTCCCCTCCTCCTATGTGGAAGATGAAAATGAACCCTTGCTTTGTCCTCCCATTCTGCTGCCCTTTCACTCACAATGTCCCCTGGCTTTTCATGGGCTGATGCCTCTGGGCATTGCTTTAGGTATTGCTTGACTAGTGGATGACGTTACACATGCCAGACTGACTTCAAGGACTGATCAGAACTGATGGAGCCAGCCTGACCCAGAGCTGAGCCACTGAGCTACACAGCTTTGGTGACACAGATGTGTGACTGATGCCAAATGCTGGAATCATCAGGGTAGGAGGAAGAGGTTTGTCTGAGGGCAGTGGAATGCAGATGAGCATGGGACAAGTGCAGGTAGAACAGAGTATCCAGCACACAAAGATACATATGCAATGCTCATCATTTCCCTCATGATAGAGGAGGTGGTGAAGACCTGGACATGAGCATGACAGTTTCAGGGGGCACTTTCAGTCCCCTCTGATGCCACCTGCCTCAGCACAGAGCTGCACGTCCTGATGTCAGTCTGTTCATCTTTAGGCCACACAGTGATGCTGTGCAACAGCCTTGGGTGAGTCTGCACTGAGGCTGTGGCTGTGCTGTGAGGTAACTGAGTGCTCCAGGCCTTGCATGTTACACTGCAGCCATCAGTGACCAGAGCTCCTGGTTTGACAAAGGTGGCAGAGGAGCATCTGTTACTCTGCTTCCTATAGTTATGCATATGCTTAAGACATGACTACCATGTATAGTTCTGGTGTCCTCAACATCAGAAGGACATGGAACTGTTGGAGCAAGTCCAGAGGAGGCCACAAAGTTGATCAGAGCACTGGAACACCTTCCCTATACAGACAGGCTGAGAGAGTTGGGGCTGTTCAGCCTGGAGAAGAGAAGGTTGTGTGGAGACCTCAGAGCAACCTGCCAGGAGCTGAAGGGGCTCCAGGGAAGCTGCAGAGGGACTCTGGGTTAGGAACTGCAGGGACAGGACAAGAATAATGGGGAGAAATTGAAAGAGGGAAATATAGATTAGCTATCAGGAAGAAGTTTTCCCTGTGAGGGTGGTGAGACACTGTCCCAGGTTGCCCAGGGAGGCTGTGGCTGCCCCA